TACTGCAATAATGTACACCAAAACCCTATGCTACTTCTTTACGCCTTGATTCCCTTTGAGGTTGCTTTCGACTCGGTGTTTGTAGCATCGTGTTGAATTTGGTGCTGAGTGTAGGGGCCTTAAGGAGCCTATGTAAGAATAGGTTTTTTGGGGTCTATGATCGCAGCATTGTTTCGGGACTGACAGGAGATCTTTTTTTTTACTACTGCTTCATACCCCTATGTTCGGGGTGTAGGGTGTCGGTTTAGGGTTTTTCTGTCTACAGCACAGGCAATGCAAAGTACATCGCTGACGTGGCTTTCACATGTACGACATAAAGCAGAACCATGACAGTGAGCATCGGCACCCCTGAGCCCGACAGCGAAGCTTGTTCCCTAAAATGCACGGCCCGGAACCCGAAACCCTAAACTCTAGAAGTCTTAGTCTTGATGAGGGGTTTAGGGGTTTTGGGTTTAGGGCTCGGATTCAGGGTTTAGGGCTTCGGGTGTAGGGTTTAGGGCGTTTGGGAGGCGGCGTTGGGCAAAGATCCCCCGGAACGGATCGCCTTGCAGATTTTCGAGCAGATACGACGCCCGGAAGTCATCTTTGGCAGCTTTAGGGCTTCGTGGAAGGTTCCGGATCCGGGGTCTGGGGAAATGTGCTATAATACACTATACTGTGCTACACGATAATATACGAAAACCTAATAGAATATCTCACAGTATTCCTTGAACTGCTATAGTACTATAAATAATGTTTGAGGATGGGCTGCTGCATTTGGTATGCGAGGCTTCCTTGGGTTGGACCCCCAGCTCTACTTGGAGGATCCCTGGGGCTTAGTAGGTATGGTTAAAAGCATGTTATTAGGATATTTGGGGTTATAAGTATAGTGACCCGAATAGGAACCCTAGAGACTACGGTTGATGATATAAATCCTGCACTACCCACAAAAAGGAATATCCGATAACTCCTATAGTTCAGGATCCTTAAGGTACTGCAGGATTTATATCATCAACAGTAAGTCCCATGATCCTTTAAGTGGTCACCAAGGAAAGGTCGATTCGCGAGTGCTGACCTTCTGCCTTTTCTCAGGTGCCTTGGGTGTTTAGGAATTGGGGGTTCAGGGTTAATGTAGAGGCGTTAATAATTAGAATAGGGTTTTGGGGGTTCCTTATGATAGTTTTGGTATAATATACCCCAACCCCTATTCTAATTGTTAAGGCCCCTATATTAGGGTTTTGGACTTAGGTTTTAGGGGTTTAGGCTTCAGGGTTTACGGTTTAGAGTATTGAGATTGATCGTGCCATGTAGCAAATTTGACACTATGAGGGCCGCTTTCGGCAGTTTGCACTGACACAAGCTGATAAGATAGATGTCGTCCTGCGAAGCGCTACGCCTTATAAGCCCTAATCCAAAACGCCTACATCCCACGTCATTTTGGTGCCTCTAGAAGGAGAGCCAGAGCTGCTCGCAGCATAGTGGAAGATACTATAGCATGATATTGTGTACCATCGTATACTTTAATGTATGCGAGTATACTTTTTAACACGCTATAGGCTACTATAATCTATCATGAAATACACTTAACATATACTAAGACATATATTATGTTCTTCTATACTTTCGATCATACACGATAGTCTACGATCATACACCACAATACTCTAAGATACACTAGTATGTACCATAGATATACGAAAACCTACTTTCCTATATCCACGAAGTCCTCATCCGCTAGCCTGCTGCGCATTATAATCACTGAAGCTGCTAAGCCCCTGAATCTGCAAGGTTCCGTTTGTTTTCACGGTTTGGGTCGACGCCTTGAACCGTAAACCCTAAATTTGAACTTAAGCCTAAAACCTAAACCCTAAACCCTAAATTTTAAGTTAAACTTAAACCCTAAACCCTAAACTCTAAACTTAAACTACCTTAGCCCACTGGCAGGCTTTGCGCTTGGCCTGCTTTCCACTCTCCTCTGCATCTTTGGTTGCCGGCGCTGTCTACTGGCGCTGCACGCAAGATGCACACTCCTTCGCTGTGGCTGTGGCCGCACGTAGAAGTGCCGGGGCTTTGCATGATCTTTGTTTTATATACGTGCAAAACTTGTTGCGCCCCGAGATCTCGCGGTGGTCATCGATTTTCGAAGGTTGCATCTGGTTTCGTGCTGTCCACTTTTCTTTTGGAGCTAAGCCCCCTAAAAACGAGAAGTTCAACACCCGTTGGCCGAAACCCTGACCACTCTACCTTAGACCCTAAGCCGTAAGAAGCGGCAGGTGTGGTGCTAAGTGGGCTGACCCTGGCTCTCTGTCTGGCCGGTGTGCTCAGCCTTAGTGATGGCTGTCTTTCAGGCGCTCCATGGGGTACTTGAGGTCTGGTTTAGGGTTTAGGGTGTGGGGTTTAGGGGGCTCGGTTTAGGGTTTAGGGT